CGTATAGTTATGGAGAAAAACCTCTCCTATCTTTTTCATAATCACCCTTCAGGTATTTGAAAATTGTTTGCAAATTCCCCCTCAGTCTTCTCTTCTCCAGACTAAATAACCCTAGTTCTTTCAGCCTCTTCTCATAAGTCTTGCCTCAAAGGCCCCTAACCATTTTTGCTGGTCTGCACTGAACTCTTTCCAATCTGTCTACATCCTTCTTGAAGTATGGGATCCAAAACCAGACAGTACTCCAGGTGAGAGGCCTGGATCGAGTGGAAGAACCACTCCTTTAGATTTGCAACTGACACACCTGTTATTACAACCTAGTGTGCTGATGGCATTTTTTTTCTGCCAAGATCACACTGCTAGCTCACATGCTGCTTAAAAACTACTGACCCCCTCTCCTCCCACCCCCAAGGTACTTCTCTCTGGTACTGCAGCTTAGCCACTGATTCCCTAGTCTGTATTTGTGAATGCAATTATTCGGTCCCAAGTGCAGGACTTTGCATGTGTCCTTGTTAAACCTCATGTCATTGTTTATGACCCATTTTTCCAGTCTATCCAGGTCATTCTGGATCCTACCACTGCCCTCCAGAGTGTCTGCAACTCAGTCCAATTTGATGTCGTCCACGAATTTGCTAAGTGTCCATTCAGTCCCAGTGTCCAAATCATTAAGGAAGATCTGTACTGGAGCCAGGAGAGACTGCTGGGGAACCCCACTTGATACCTCTTCCCAGCTAGACATTGAGTCTTTGAGGACTACTGGCTTCTGGAGTAGATGGTCAAATAACTTTTCACCTGAGGGAAGCTAGTACCTTCCTTCCTTTTAGGAAAGCATTAATAGTCTCCAACAGGAACGTACCCAGCTCCTCTCTGATTTTCTCATCCTTGAGGAGCCAAAGTCCAATTAGAGGTTCAAAGTCAAAGTCCTCCCAAGGCCCATGAAGCTAGCAGGATTATTGCACACCATTTCTATAGCCAGTGGCACAGAGAGGTGTGTGCATGACACGTTAAAGCAGGCCAAATACTTTTGCACTGCTTTAATGGTGTCGGTGTGTGCATACCTTGGTGATGTATTGCACATTAATTCCAGCTGCTGTAGGAAATTTGGTGGCGTAATGTGCTTTAAATGACTTGGGGCACAGCAAACTAAAATTCATCCAGGGAATTTTAGTTTGCTGCCTCTACAGGTGCGGAGCAAAGCACTGGGCTCTGTGCAGCTCTACGGCTCTGCAGGAAGCCCTACAGGCAGCCTGGCAGCAGCCCGGGAAGGCAGGCTCCACCCAAGAAAAGCAGCAAGCCTGATCTTTTTTAAAACCCACCACTTCAATTTAAGGTCCCTGTTTCATCTTCACACGCCCCAAGAGAACGATGTGGCCAGCATCATCTCCAGCCACTTGTGACTACCAAGCCTGCATAACCAAGTACCCACTTACAGCTGGATCAATTCAGGGAAGCTTCTCACATAAGCCTAAAGCAGGGATCAGCTTAACAGCCTGAACCACAATTAAATGCTTCAATCATTCTGCCCCCGTGACTCAGCTGGAAGGAGCAGCCTGAAATCTTCACATCATTTTAGAGCCTCTGCAAGTCTGATTGTTGCTATAATTATGAGGCATTTATTTACTAGAAATATGGATTTCTTTTCACAAAAGATTTCGCCAGACAGACATGACAAAACCTAGTTATCTGCCTCCTGGGGATGGTGTGGTAGGTGGCATACAAGTAAATACCAGGTCTAGCAAAGGCAGAAACTCTCATTCTTCTATTATCCCTTTGGACTATATCCTAGATGCTTGGGCTGAGACGAGGGCTGGGAGGCAGCATTGCCAAGGAACAATTATAAGATTGTTACAGTCGCTGCATTGTGGCAAATTCTGGTAACATTCTGAGTCCTGTGCTCACAGGAAATCAATGCAATCCAGGTGCGTCTGTCTTTCTAACAAAGTTTGGTATGAGTGGTATGAAAGTTTTGTTGTCTGAGCCCATCATTAAGTAAAAATAGCACTTCTTCCTAGAGCTGGACTTTATTTGGCATGAAATGGTTTTCCTGCATCGATGAGTTCTTTCAAGCTCAGCTGGTTTCTGGTTTGGGGCAGGGCACCTCTGAGGTATTTAATTGGAACTGCTCCAGTAACACAGACTATACTGGAAAGGTTAACCGTTCATCTTTATTTGCAGAGCATTGATGAGCTGTTGCTTCTTGCCCCAGGAATAGGTAGGGAGTGGGTCTTCAAGTTGGTTTTAGGGGATCTCAGAGGCATAGCCTAATACATCTTGGCATTTTCAAATGAAGAGTGACAACGGTGCTCATACAGTGCTGAACTGCAACATGGAAAACTTATTCCAGAAGAAATACATTTCTGTTCTAAGACAAGTTGGACTTGAATATTAAAAAGTAATAAACTCACTGGTGGACAGTTATAGAGAAACATGTTACTGTTCTTTAACGTTAGTCCAAGACAGCACTAGAAGTACTAGAAAGAAAAGGAGTGAGGCCTGTGTGGCTCAGGGTGTTGGTTACACTGATGGTTTCCAAACTTTCTGGGAGTTCATTTTATACTGGATTATGCCCTTCTGCCCTGCCTTCTCCAAGTTCTCTGGAAGACTGGAACAGGCTCATTGACTCAGAGAATGAGTAGTAATACCATATCTCTTCAACAATGTACTAATCCTAGTTTTAAACCCAAAACACATCACAAGAAATGTGGTAATGATGCAGATAAAATTCACAGAGGAAGGTTTAGTAGGAAAGACTCCTTATTTTTCTGGCTACTAGAACTGAGAAAGAGAAGTTAATTGATAGACTGTAAAATTTGCGATATGTCCATAACTGAGACACATTATAGCACAGTATGGGAAACCTTGCACCACAACCCCATGTGTTGAATGCCCCATGAGCTTGGAGGATTTAAGGCCCAAATCCTTAAAGTCTTTAAGTGCCTGATTCCCATAGATTTCTAATGAGTTTGGAGCCTAAATATCCAACTCCCCAAGGCTGAAAGTTCAGTCCTTCTGAAACAGTTAGATGAATACATGGTTTTTTTTTTTTCCTGGTTTAGGAGTATTGGGTGCCTATATATGAGCAGCAAGGCTGCTCCAACGCGCTGTCAGAGCAGGCTCGATTAATTGAGTCTACTGGAGCACGGTAATTACTGTGCTCCAGCAGACTCCAGGGTCTCGTACATCAGCGTCCCCACACTTAACATGATGGTGGTGGGAGTGGAGAGCAGGGCTTCAACTAAAGCTCATCAAATGAGCTTTAGTTATAGTGACCTTACCACCATTTTTAAGCATGAGGATGCTGATACATGAGACACTCTGGGCACTTTAATTAAAGTGGCTGTCAGAGCCACTCTATTTACAGTGCCCCCTTCACCCCACAACTCCAAGAGCACATGTATAAATGCCCAACGTGGCCATTAGTGCCTTATGTAGACATAATGATTCTGCCCCAGGCTAGAAACATTTGTTTGGGCTGGAGGGGAACATCATCACCAGGCTAGAAATATCCAGAGGTGCGGGGAATTCATAACAACCAATTCCCTGCTTTCTTCAGAAATCCTCCATAGATCTGGGACCCTCTCCTTCTCTTGCTGGGCTGGTGAAGCTTGCTGCTACAAGGGGCTGATTAGACCAAGATAGGCCCCTAGGGTTTATATTAAGAAAAAATACATAGACTCTCTTTTCTGGCAGGACTGCTAAATATGGGTCCTCCTTAGTTTGCTGGAGTGGGGCAATCTTTGCCCTCGGGGCAGGGTTCCTTCCTTCTGGCAGAGCAACAGGTCCCTCCTACTGAAAGGGTTACAGTTGTCTTCTGGCTGCCAACTAACTGCGGGAACCTGTCACCTCCCAGTGAACTGGCATGGCAGTAAGGACACTTAGCCCCAGGTCTTCAAAAGGCATCTCTCTGCACAGCACTGTGCCAACTAAACTAGTCAGCCTGGTGCAATTCTCAGCCCCCAGCAAAGGGGCCAGACTGCCCACACAATACATGGAGAGGGTTAGGGCATGCAAGTGAGCAATTTTCAGCACATGGCTAGCTGAGCAAGGGAGCTGCCTAAGCAAACTGGAAAGAAATCAGGAGAGTGGCAGGGAGAGAAGGGGATTAGATGCCAGAGTGGTCAAACTGCCCCATAGCACTGCTGGGCCAGAGGCTGGTGCTGCCCCCTTACTCATTGCTTGGAGTTGTGTGCCTTACAACCAGAAGTGTGCTCTCTCAAATTCACCCTATACTTCTGGCTGCTTTTTGCACAAATGCTCTGCTGCCCCTTCACCCCTCTGTGGCCTGCCTCCAGGTCTCCCAGACCAGGGGCTAGCAGCTACCAGGGTTTGGGCATGCTCCGAGATTGCTGGTGAGAGGAGCGTTCCCCTGTAACCTTGTTTCAGAGCCTCTGGCTTGACTAGAGCCCAGAGCAGGCTGTTAGCAGTAAGGTGGTTTCAGAAGTGAGGCTGCTCTGTGAATGCCAACAGGCAGAAACTTGGGCATTGAGGGTACTTAGTTGCCTGCAGGAATAGGTGGCAGCTGAGCAGAAGCTTTGCAAATGTCAGTGGTACTGAAACAGAGGACTTCTTTACCTATGTATTTTTAAGGAACTGGATCTCCGTGTCCCCTCTTAGTCATCCTCAGATGCTTAGAGAGTGGGGTCAGAGTCATGTGCCACAGGGTTACAATTTGCCCCCAGAGAACAGCCGTAAAGACCAAAATAGTATCATTAAGCTTATCCTTTATAGAAGTCAGAACTGCTGCACTTTCTAAATGTCATCGAGTTTGCTGGCATCTTTGTTTTTCTCCCATTATGAAAATAGCTTAACCTTTATTGTACAGTTTCTTAGAGGATTGAAATAAATAGGAAATCAGTTGTAAGTGGTTTTGCACTCCCTGCCATTTCATAGCAATCAATATTTGGTCTATGACAAAGAGCACATTTTTGTAAACACTGGCCGCCTCTATCTGGCTTTTGCTCAGTGATCAAGTGAAATAATTTCTGTGTTTTTCCTTCTTTAAGGCTCAATCTGCTTTGCAAACATGGCCATTGCTATGCTGGAACCGGCACTGCCCATCTGGATGATGGAGACCATGTGTTCAAGAAAGTGGCAACTTGGTAAAGTACAACGTTATTCATTATTTGGTTCTAGTATACTTTGTCGCAAGACTGTCACATTTCTGGTTTGGTTGGCAGTGGTCTTATGTGCTCTAATCATATTAAGATCATCACTTTTTTGAGTCTTTTACTTTCAACATGATAGCTGTGGGGGGTCCCACCCCCCCCACACACACACCTTGCACTATTTCCAGCTAATGAGTCTTTTTTATGAACCCTCAGATCTTGGAAACCAGTGAGTAAGAATGAGTCTCTGCTTTCATTTTTTAAATAAAAAGTTTTAACTCATGATTCTGGAGACAAGCCAGAAATTTTACTTACGTGCCTCATAAAATGCTCTAAACCAGAAGGGATTTTTTAAAAAGCCCCTTAATTCCTTATTATTTACAGATTGCATGATTTTTTTAAGCTGGCAGTATTGTATTTGTATCTGTACTAGTGAACTTTACGGTGGGGGGAGGGGACGGAGATGGAGGTGGGGAAAGCTGGCTAACCCTAATCCTAACCCTAACCCCACTCCCGTGCTGCCACTGCCTCCCAGGAACTGGGGGGGTGGGGTGGGGGACCTTGCCCTGACATCTCCTTCACCAGCACCCCACGCCGTCACCACCTCCAAGGAGCAGGGCCAGGGGGTGGGGTGTGAGGCCAGTAGCGCTGGCTGTGCCCCCCTGCTCTGCTGCCTCCAAGGAGCAGGGCCGGGGGGGAAGGGTGAGGCCGACACTGCTGGCCTTGCCCCTCCCCGCTCCATCCCCTCCGTCAGTGCAGTGCTCCACCGTGCGGCTGCCACCTCCTATTCATAATGCTCTTGGAGCACTCCGATTGGTTGTTTCAGTAACCAGAACGCTCCAAGAGCGTTATGGACAGACAGACAGACAAAGCCATTTATTGTATATCACATCTGGTGCCCGCACACAGTGGTGTACACACACCAAGAACTATTGACTTACAGTAGTAACATGGAGGAAGTTGTAAGCCAGTGATTCTCAAACAGGGTACCATGGCACCCTGGGTGCTGCAAGATCCTTTTAAGGGTGCCACAGGATACAACACAGTATTAGTATTGTTAGGTGTGCAAACACCTACACGTGATATGCAAGATAAACCCAGAGATTTCAAATAGGAATCCAGAGTGTCAGAAATATTTGTGACATATTGTAGTCTTTGAGTTTTTGCAACAGAAGAATGGTGGGGGGAAGGGTTGATGATGAAAAAAATAGTAGAGCAAGTGATAGCTGGCATTTTCTGAGGGGTGCCTTCAGTTTCCAAAGATTGAGGACCAGTGCTCCTAAGTCATTGTTAAAATTCAGTCACCAGCATGAAGCGGTAGGGGGATGTCCCTATGTCAGGTAGATTTCTAAACATCTTCAGTTATGATCAAATGATGCCCACTGAAGACTATTTCCTGCTGGAGTTGACAAAACTTAAAAAGAGCAAGAGTCCGGGTCCTACTGAAGTCAGTTGGCCAGTAGTAAACAATGGGGGATAGTGCACCTTTTTAAATGGACAAGCCCACACCAAAGGGGCAGGGTTTGGCTATTTGATCCTTTTTTGAAATCTTTTGGGTTTCTCCATCTGTTCAGCTATCAAGTTCACTGCGCCTGTCTGAACATTGTGTTCAAGAAATGTTGTAAGCATTTAAAGCACCAACATATTTATTCCCTTACATACCGTTGTCTTATTACAATAGTACCTAGACAAAAAAATAGGGTCCCCATTTTGTCAGGCACTACACAAATATAGACTAAGAAAGAAACCCTGCCCCAAAGAATGGGTAGCAGAGAATAAATAGTTGAGGTAGAAGGTGGTGGGTACAGAGAATATGTTCAGAGGGCTGTGAAGGTGTGACTAGCTGGAGATGAAAACTGGCCAGTATAATCTGACTGTTTCTCCAGGGAGTGGGGTGGGGGAAACAAGGGCCAGGTTTACAAGGGGAATTTATAAGTCCCAGGCGTAGACTCTCAAAGCCTCTGCCTAAATTTGGAGGCATCCCAATTCTAGAGGTGCCCAAGTTTCTGCCAATAAAGTCTGGTAGACACTTACATTTTTGTTGTTGGATACATTCCCAAGTCTGAAAATGGAACAGCTTGGTACCCAACTTGCAGTGCAATCTGGAGACTCCAGTTATCTTGCTGCTGGGCCTAACTCTGTATTACGTTGTGGAGTGAAATCCAATATTTGTTCAGCCAGAGTGACTCCTTAGCTTTGTGGTTAGGAAAGTCATTGGGGAGAAGAGACAAAAGGTTCAATCCCTGGTCCAGTGACTATTTAGGTGTTTTACATTAGCTGCAACAGCTTCAGCAAAAGGGATGCACTGTGTCCCACCTCAGGATGCCCAGTGTTGCTAGGGCACTCACGTGACGTGACAGATGTGGATTCAAGTCCCACAGGCAGATTTGGGAACTGAACTAATGTCTCATATGTGATGCAAGTAGGAAGATGAGTAGAAAGGTAGCATTGCCAGCACCTCCACCTCATCCTTTGATTTTCATTTTGGTGTAAAAACAATGAAGGAATAATATAGTTTAGTCACTCAGCTCCAGAAGAGGACTTCATGCAGGAGGGCTCAGGAGGATGAATCCCCCAGCAGACTAAGACACCTTCCTCTAGCCCAGACATAGGCACCTTTCAGCATTTTCTGCTCAGTTTGTTAGCTTTTATGAATCTCCTCTACAGAGCCCTAGAGTTGTATAGGGGCCCTCAGCGACTAAAATGGGGTTGTGCTGTCTGTTAAGTGACAGGGCATCTAGATGTTAGGTGTTGCAATGCTGAGCCTCATTTGATGTTAGCTTCTGGAGTTCATTGCTTACCTCAGCCTAGAGAGTTAACATTAAAAAGGGGTTAAGTCAGGGGTGGGCAATTATTTTGGGTGGAGGGCCAGATGACGGGCAGCCAGGGGCAGATAAAGATTAATTTTCTAAAAATTTTAGGGGCCCCGCGGGCCAGATAGAATGGCCTGGTGGGCTGCATCTGGCCCATGGGCCATATTTTGCCCACCCCTGGGTTAAGTTCACTTTATGAAAATTCATATAATTACAGTTATAACACATGTTTTCTTTGGGTTTCAGCTTTAGCATTTATATGTGACTTCTTTTTTAATGAAAGAGGGAATTCCATGACAAAACTACATTAAACTAAAATTAACATTGTGCATCCAGGAGTGACTTATAGGTAGCATTTAGGAAACAGTTTTATGCACTAATAAGTTGTATGGTAGCATTATACAGCACATGTGAAATTTGGTCCCAATAAGAGCACACCCAGAATCACAGTGGAATTGGCTATCTGTCATTACAAGGTTGCTGTACCATTAGCCATAGTAAGGAGTCCTATACGGTAGTAGTGTGTGAATGTTAGTGTACAAGCACGGAGATGTTAGAGCCTCCATTAGAGAAGAAAATAGAATTCACCTAGCAGAAAAATAGATTGTTTGAGGGAGGTAGAACAGGGGTTAATATTATTGATGCAATGGAAATGAGAATGTATTTAAATAGAGGTTGTTATGAGGAAACAGCCATTTTAAGTTGAGCCTAATTTTACCCCACAATGATCAGATTAATTGATTCTATCAAGCATTGTCTAATTCAACAGCATTAGAGTTTTAAAGCATTTTGAATTATATTGTCAAGTGCAGGGTTTGAAACAGATGTTTATTTGTATGATTTGAGAGTCCTGCTTTTTGAGGTCTGATCTGAAGGAACTACAAGAAATCCTGATTCTGAATCAGTTAGTTTTACACTCCATAAAACTCATCAAAGAAAAGTGCTGCCTACCCATTAGGCCTGTGGAAAGCGGCTAGTATTCACTTCAGATTTGGCCGATTCGGGGGACAGCGATTCGATTCGGTGATTCGAATCACCGTCCCGAATTGATTCGTCCGAATCCAATTCAGAGATTCGGCTGCTGCCAAACCACACAGGCCCATCCCCTGCCCGCTCTCCCAGCCCAGCGATGGCTGCCTTCCCGCCCCAGCTCCCGGCACTTGGGAAAAAAAATCCCCAACTTACCAGCTGCTGCTAGGCGGGGGGAGCCACTCCCACTACCCCCTGCTGCATGGGGGGCTCTGCCATGAGACCACCAACTCCCCCAGTCCTCCCCCATGGCTGCCCTGCCTGCCTCAGCTGTGGCCCTTTAAAAAAAACAAAACAAAAAAAAAACAACAACAAAAAAAAGCCCCCTCCCACCAGTTTCTGCCTGGCAGGGGATGATCCCTGCTGCCCCGCACTGCCCCATGCTTCATCGGGGGCTCTTCCACAAACTCCCAGAAGCCCCGAGGCTGCTGCAGCAGCCTGTGAGTCCTGGGATTTTTTGGGACTCTTTTCTTAAAGGGCCAGAGCTGGGGCTGCCAGGGCAGCCATGGGGGGGGGGACGGGGAGGGGGACTGGGACAGCAGGGCGGAAGATGGAGGGCTCATGACAGAGCCCCTCATGCAGCACAGAGCAGTGGCAGGTAGCAGGGATCACCCCTGCCTGGTAGCACCCAGTGAGCACCAGGGCTTTTTTCTAAACAACCAGGAGGTGGGGTGGGCAGGGCAGCCATGGGGGAGGTTGGGTCAGTGGGTGGGGGGCCGCTTGGGGGGGACTGGGGGAGCAGGCAGGGGTCTCCCCATGGTCCCCTTCTCCATCCCCTCCTCCCCTGCTCCAGAGCAGAGCTTGGAATTTGGGTGCAGCGTCCTGCTGCAGCAGGCAGGGATTGCCCAAATCATCAAAGCTCTCTGAATCTTTTCCGAATCAATTCAGAGAGCTTTGAATCAATTCAGACCTTTTAATTGGTCCCCTGATTCAATTCGGATTCAGAGATTCAGCCACCGAACCAGGCCGAATCAAAACCTGAGCGTGGTGGTGCTCCCCTTACAAAAAGGCACCGCTGGCACTGTCGGCAGCACCTGCAGGCAGTCACCACTTGCTACCCTGCTGCTGACACCACCAGTGGTATCTGTGGCTGGTCTGCAATCCCTGCTGGCTGCCGCAGCCAGCAGTGGCTGTGGGTGGTCACCGACTCTT